TTTTGATGTATTGTGTGAAAACTTTTGAAAAGTCATATCTACGTCATCAGTTTGAAAAAGATAATTGTCATGAAATGCGTTTGGTGGTCTGATTTCTATTGTGTAGATTCCATATTGTGATGTGAGACTACATATACCTTTCAGATAGTGGTCAAGAAGTTTTCTTTTGATTTTTACATTGGGAAATTCTTTTGTTCATGACTTTCTCCTTTGTCGAATAAATTTGCGATTAAACATTGGCAAATTTGTACCTGTCCTCGAGCTTCAGTTAATGGATGTATTAAAATTGGAGATACTGAATCTTTCGGGTTATCTTCATTTCGAATCATTTTTGTGTTGTTAGCGTGTAATTTTCAATGTGTCTTTTTGGTTGATTCCAATTGTACAAACGTATTGGTTTGTTTGTGTAACAGTTGTTTATTCTACGCTTTCCTTTTATTGATGCTGGTGAAGTGGTTTCGGAGTCAGTAAAATATAATTGATCGTCAATTTAATTGTTTTTATTTATCGAGTCTTTTAAATTGTGGAGTTTTTGTTTTGCGCTTGTTTCTGATTCTGAGACTGCGTTTCTTTGTTCTGAAAATGGCTTCTTAAAAATTTGTTTTTAATTGCCAATTATTTTCTTTCTAAGTGTTTGTCTTTTTATTCGTATGTGTCCTATTGTTTGTCTGTGTGTGTATTTACGAGGTCGTTTCTTTCGTCGTTAATTAAACAGTTGTGTATTATAATTGATTGTTTGTTTCCTAAATTGTCTCTTGACATGAGGCTTAGGATCATGGATGCAAAATTGGGGTTAGTGATTTCTAATGTCTTAAACTGATATTTCTTACAATTTTTTGTGGTTAGCTTAACTTGGATCGTATTTATCGGGTTGGAGAGAAAAGCATATATCAATTCGTGAGAATGATTTTTGATTTCTCGTGAATAATTGTAAATTAAGATACACTTACCTAATCTTACTTAGGGGTTGTGATTCGTGATCAAGGGTTGGAGAAAAGTAAACTGATCCACAAGGTTCAGGTATAATTAGAACGCAAGCAGTTCGTTAGATACTATTTTATGACTTACTAAGTTGAAGTGTTTTAGCCTGGGCCATCTTAGAGGAGGGGATCAAGTGAAGGCTGAGTAACCGAAGTTCTTCACTGTTTATCCTAATTAGAATGGTCAGCTCTTCGAAAAATTTCTGTTAGTTTTGAGTCTTTGTTAAGGGTTGGGTAGTGAATCGACGTTTGAGTTCGTTAGACACTAATTAATGTGGGAGGGGGAGAACAAAATTGTTCTTTTTGATCCAAGGATAAGCCTTGATGATCAGAAATTTAGATATAGTTTTATATAATTTAAAGATCCAATGGAGGCTTTGATGATCTGTTTTTTTAAATGAAATTAATTTAACTGAAAACAAGGATAAGCTTTGATAGTTTATTGATAAAAGGTCGAGTTTAAAAGGTCAAGTTTTTAGTTTTGATGATGGTTAAATTTTGAGATTTGCTGTTATGTTTTAGGTGCTGAAGCTGGGATGAAGAGATCATTTCTATATACTAACGACTTATGACTTAAACTAACTAATTTTTGTTTTTTTTATAGTCACTAAAAAAAAATTTTCAAGTTGTTATTTAATTTACAGCTGATTTAAGGAAAACGACTAGTGTTGTTTTTATGGTCGTTACTGTATAATTATTAGGTTTAGCGCCATGAAAGTTTGATGAAGATGATTCTTTAAAACTTTATGTCAGTAAATCAAAATTTAAATTTACTGCTGGAAGTATTCTAAATATAAAAGTTTCATCTGGTTTTTGTCGTACGATCATGAAATCGGTTGGTAGATTTCTTCCTGGGCGTATGTCATCTCTTGTTCGAGGTCTTCTTCCAGTACCGGTTAGTTCTCTTATTGTTCGGAAATTTGGATCTGATCCATTGAGCCGTAGAGACGTATCCACTAAGTTTTTGTCAGATAACCTTTTTGAAAAGTTGTATTTGTCTATTTCTATCCTAATGTTTTCCAAATCTAGGTTAGTTAAGGTCTGTTTGAGACTTTTGGTCGCACCAGATGAGTTATATCCTTTTTATACATCTATACTAGTAGAGTAATATCAGATAAGGTACACCGGCTGCTCGTCACGCTACCTTATTTTCGGCCGGATAGATTCGTGCAACTTCTTAATCTATTACCAATCTTAATCTTAATCTTAAATCTTCTAGTCTCAATAGATCTAGTGTACACCGGTTTATGCCAGTTAGTTCCAGAATGAGAACAACTGTATTCTAAGCTGAATTCAAATTGTTCTGGTGTTCAAACTACAACTAATTTAAAGGGTTGTTAGTTTGATGGAGTATGATTGGTTAGTATTCAATATTTTTTAGAGATAAAATATCAGAATAATATCCAATAATAAATTCTAGTTTAGATCTGGTTCCAGCATATTTGACAGCCATATGGAGATTGGGCAACGGTTTTGATCAAAAAATGACAACAATAAAAAACAAAAAAATCTGAAAAGTTTCCAAACATTGTTTCAAGGTTTTTGCGGAAAATATTTGAGTTATGAAGTTTTTTTATTTCAAAAAAGGCACTTAAATAAGCCTGCTCACTTACTTTACTCGCTCGAAATAACACAAAAACTAAAAAGTTCCAACTCGGTTAATTCGAGACTGGGACAACTTTTCAAGAAAAAACTTAACGTGGTTCGAATTAGGACTGAAGGGGCTTTAATGTGATATACTACTCGACGAAATATCAGGATAAATCAACATTTCAACTGAATGATTATTATTGGTATATGCTTTTGGTTGAAAACCAAAATAAGCCTGCTCACTTGCCTTATTCACACCCAATTACACCAAAAACTGAAAATTTTAGACGCTTTTTTTCTCGACACTGAGAAACGATAATCAAAGTTTGTTTTATTTTCAATCGAATTACGACTGAAAGGGTTTGACCATGATTTGAACCGACTGATGTTTTTTTTGATAACTGAAAAGTTGAGATATTTGTTTTCCAGACTTATTTAACTATGGGAGAGTGAAATGGGAGATAACAAATCGGATCACTGAACAAACTCCATTCCCGGGTTGACCCAAAATTCTAGTCATACAATTTCCAGATATGGAAAAATGCTAGTCATACACTTTTCATGAAATTCCATAAGTACAGAAAATTGCATCAAAGGTCTATGATTAGTATTTTTTCATATATGGAAATTGTATGACTAGTAATTTTTCTTAACCCAAAAATATTGATTTTTTACATTTTAGTTTCTCAAAATTTTTTGGTTGTGTTCGTAACCGAACACAAATGACATACACCTTGGTTACTCGAACGTAGTAACCAAAGGTTTGGCCGTCTCGCATTAAAATTGCCTTGGAAACAGTCTGAAATGTTTTAATTCTGCCTCACACAAATATTATAGCGAAAATAACGAACTTTTAAATATTGACAAAAATTTTCAAAAATGATTATTTTTAATATTTGAATTTTTGATCAAACCTATGCGTTAGAACTGGAAAAGCAAAAAACGAAGTTATTGAAACACAATTCATACCAGATGTTACTTCAATTCAACAAAAAGGTCAAGAAAGAGTAGAAAAAGTACTGAATAAACTAATCGACCAACAACATATTATAAAGTTGGAAAAAAGTTCCGATAAACAGTTCATTGGCCCGATCGTAATAACAGTGAAAAAGGACCAAACAGTCAAACTCGCATTAGACTAAAAAAATTATCAAATTTATCCACAAAAACAAGTATCAGATGCCGAATATAGCTTTATTACTCGACAACATCGCATAAACGATGAAATCTGATACCATAGAACAAAAGTTGTTCTCTTCTCTTGATTTACGATATGCGTATTCACAAGTCTCGCTGGATCAGAAAACAAGAGAACAATGTAATTTCAGTCAAATATTATTTTTAATATTTGAATTTTTGATCAAATCTATGTGTTAGAACTGGAAAAGCAAAAAACGAAGTTATTGAAACACAATTCATACCAGATGTTATTTCAATTCAACAACTTCAATTCAACATGTTTTTGAGCGAGACACTGATCAAGGCATACAAAAACATGTCATACAAAAGAAAGTGAAATTTTAAGCGTTTTTGAAAAAATTTATGAAGAGTAAAGGGAAAAAAAGCCAATATTAGTATATCCAGGACTACGTTATACACACAAAAAATTAAATTTTGCATGCAAATTTTTTTTTTTCAAAAAAATTTTTTTGAATACGAAAGTCAATTTGAGGTTGAAAAAATACAAAAAAAATTTTTTGGGTGCAATTTCAAAAATACTAAATTTCAAGAAAAATTTTGCCGTCGCCATCAAAAAAATGCTAGTCATACAATTTCCATATATGGAAATTGTATGACTAGTGTTTTTTTTCAGAAAACAAAAATAAAAAAGTCAAAGTTTTCAGTTTTAGCAGCCCAAACAACGCTTAAATGTTTTGCTTGCAGTTGAATCAATTGTTCAAAGCTTTTTTTTCACAAAATTTTTTTGTTAATGCTAATTATACAGTTTCCATATACGGAAATTGTATGATTAGCATTTTTTTCATACCATTTTTTCCCTTTTTTTTATGAAGAGATACCAATTTCGATACCAAAACAACTATAAAATACCTTTGAAACTCGGTTAAATTCATTTTGCAAAAATGTATGAAATTTGTATGACTAGCAGTTTTCCATAGACTAAGTGTATGAAATTGTATAATTAGCATTTTCGGTCTATGGAGGTCAACCCGGGTTGGTTGAATTGAATCAAGCCTACTATGTTCTGTTTAAGTTCATGAAACTCTGCTCCTCAAATTTTGAAACGAACCTGCAAATCTTTCAAAATTAGTTTTTAGGTATTGACACACTTGGCCCCTCATGAAATTACCGCCACCTTTCGTCCCTCGCATTTCGTCAACGGATTACAAGCCATTGAGCACGTCGAGCGCGAGATGCTAGATTGCCTAATTAACTATTAGCGATAACTTCGACCATGATCTTATTGCCTACCTGTAGCATTTTCAGCCCCTTTGGAAGTGAATAGTCGGGGTGATTTAAGGGAGCATAACGGTGAACTAGTGCTGGAGAGTCAATCCACGGAGTATCGATGCACTTTTGTTGTTCAGAAGTCGTTATTTCAGCTTCCAAACTAGCGTTGCGTGGTTGATGTTCAGCTAAAGTTTCCAGATGTTCATTTATAATGCTGACTTGACGAACCAAAGGTGTCCGTAAGCAGACAAGAAATGCTGTTAAACAAGCCAAAATAACACCCACTTTAGCATATCGAACCGCTAATTGTTTCCACAGGAAGATTTTCTTTAACACATTCATGTTTTTTCTCTTAAATGATTTGCTGGGGCTTTGATAATTCAAATGCAATCAAAACCAAGTCTGAATATGACAATTCAATCAGAGCAACGTTTTTCTAAAATCTTTAACTAAACTCTCTGCTTGCTGCTTCTTTTCTTTGCTAAACAAGAATAGTTGCTTGTTTTTCTTTGCGTTATACTGTTTGTTTTATATGAAACAATATCTAGTAAGATTTTCATGCTTTTGTGGTGCTGTTTTATTTAAGTTATGGTGAGTAACGGTAATCACACAGTTTTTACCATTAAAATCTGCATAGAGCACAAGAAAGGTTCGCAAATACATACGCAAAGTTTTACCAAAAATATAAAAGAGCAAGCGCGTTAAAACAAGAATATGCCAATTACTCAATTTTTGGAATGCTGTTAAAATCAAATATCAGACTATAAAAGCGAAGCGAAGAAGTAACAAGACTGCCCGACTGCCTTTAAGGTTTATGGAGCAGTAATAACATAAATACCGTTGATTCGTTTCAAAAAAGCAATTCGATTTAATATTGAATACATCTCAAAACAATTTAACTTTAAATTAAAACAAGACTGCTCGTATCAGGGCGAAGCCCTGAATGTTCCGACTGCCTTTTAAGGTTTTATGGAGCAGCAGTAAAGGCATAAAAAAATAAATGAAATGAAATAAAATGAAAATTTTTTCTAAAATTTGAAATTTTTTGTAAAAATCATCCCCCCACAGGCCATATAAAGTACAAAAAGAGAGATTTCGTTCCTTGTAACAAATCAGTTATGGCAAATAAGCTTCGTTCAACCAATTTGGAACGATTTATAAGACGGATTAGATCTCTGCTTACGCTTTAATAGCGCGAATTATATCGCGCGTTAATTGTCCCAAATTGGTCAAAATGGCCAAAATGGCAATCTTTAAACCCTCGTAACTCTACGAAAAATGATCACAGGTGCAATATTTTTTCAAATTTAAGCTCAGGACAATTTTTTTAGTTGCAGGCCTTTCTTGACTGCTTGATTTTTGGAAAATGTTCAACGCAATGATTTCTGAACAGCTAAATTTTATATTTGTGGCCAATTTTAGCTTAAATGAAAAACTCGAAAATAACAAAAATGGTTCTGGAAAGTAAAACTGCGCAAAAAGTGCAAATAGATTTGAAAATAATTACATAAAGGTTCGAAAAAGATTCCAAACTTAGACAAGACTGCTCGTATCAGGGCGAATCCCTGAATGTTCTGACTGCCTTTTAAGGTTTTATGGAGCAGTAATAACATTTTAAGGTTTTATGGAGCAGTAATAACAAAAAAATAAATGTAATAAAGTAAAAAAAAATTTTTTTTTAAATTTGAAATTTTTTATGAAAATCATCCCCCAAACGCCATTTAAAGTACAATAAGATAGATTTAGCTCCTTGTACTAAATCAATTATGGCAAATAGGTTTCTTTCAACCAACTTGGAACAATTTTAAGACGGATTAACTCTCCGCTTACGCGTTAATAGCGCGAAATATATCGCGCGTTAATTGTCCCAAATTGGCCAAAATGGCATTCTTTAAACCCCCATAACTTTACGAAAAATGATCACAGGTGAAATATCTTTTCAAATTTGAGCTCAAGACAACAATAGCTTTCGAATGATATAAAAAAATTTTGTCAATATGGCTAGTTAAGAAGTCGAAATTTGTCTGAAGAAAAAAAAACCCACCCCGAGCACAAATAATCCGTTACTTTCGTATCGAAAGTCGGAACAACAAGACTGCTCGTATCAGGGCGAAGCCCTAAATGTTCCGACTGCCTTTTAAGGTTTATGTAGAAATTTTTTGTAAAAATCATCCCCCCACACGCCATATAAAGTACAAAAAGAGAGATTTCGTTCCTTGTAACAAATCAATTATGGCAAATAAGCTTCGTTCAACCAATTTGGAACGATTTATAAGACGGATTAGATCTCTGCTTACGCTTTAATAGCGCGAATTATATCGCGCGTTAATTGTCCCAAATTGGTCAAAATGGCCAAAATGGCAATCTTTAAACCCTCGTAACTCTACAAAAAATGATCACAGGTGCAATATTTTTTCAAGTTTAAGCTCAGGACAACAATACCTTTTGAATGATAAAAAAAATTTCCGTCAAAAATGGCTAGTTAAAAAGTCGAAATTTGTCTGAAGAAAAAAAAACCCACCCCGAGCATGTTTTTACTCTGTGGCTTGTTTTGTTTCACTCTCTGCTGTTTTGATATTTACTAGCCCGGAAGAAGCGGATCTGAAGTGCCTTTGTCGGTTATTAATCCGAATCATGTCGAAAACCTGTAAGCTGATTGACGGTAGGTTTATTTTGAATCGCAAGCAAAACACCGACCTGCTGCAAAGTGATTTAAATGGGATTTTTACACAGCCTGTGCAGAGCAATGAAAAAAGCGACACTTCTCATAACAAGCATAGGATGTGAGCTTGAACGTATATGCGCCTCAAAGTAAGCATTGGTTTTTTCCTACCTTAAATTGGAGGGAAATTGACGGCTATTGCAGTTTGTCTCTGTTCAAACACGTTGTGCCATGAAATTAGTACCATTTATTCGATAGCATGTTTTTATTCACCTTTTAAATAGTGTTTCCCAATGTCACCAAATGTCTGGCTGGGTTTTACAATTGGTTTCTATCAAAAAAAAAAATTTGGCAAATACTTCGACCTTCCCGGGTTGACCTCCATACACCGAAAATGTTTATCATACAATTCCATACATCAAGTGTGTGGGAAAATGCTTGTCATACAATTTTCATACAATTTCTAAAAATTGTTGAAAACTGGTATAAACTCTGTGGCTGTTTGATTCTAATAACACAATCTGATGATGAAAAACTGAGGTTTTCGTTTTTTGAAAAAAATGCTTATCATACAATTCCCATATATGACACAAAAAAATTTTCAAGTAATTTTGAAAATTTAGCCCAAAAATTTTGTTGGTTTTTTTTTCAACCGCAAATCGATTTTCGTACGCAAACAAACATTTTTCGAAAAAAAAAAATTTTGCATGCAAAATTTAATATTTTGTGTGCATAACGTAGTCCTGGATGCGATAAAATTGGCTTTTATTTTCTTTTCACTTAATTTTTTTTTTAAAAACGCTGAAAATTCCTCTTTCTTTTGTATGGGGTGTTAATGTACGCCTTGATCAATGTATAATAATTTGAAAATTCAAAAATTTTTTATAATCATCATTAAAAAATTTTGCCATAAAATAAAAGTTTGTTACTTTTGTTATATCAATTGTGAAAGACAGGCAATTTCAGGTCCATTTCTATGCATTGTAAATGCAAGACCGTCAAACCTTTGGTGTTTTGAGTGACCAGGGTCTTTTTCACTTGAGTTCGCTTGCAACTACAACCAAAAATTTTTCAGAAACTGAATTTAGAAAGAAAAATTCAAAATTTTTGGTTTATGGGAAAACACCTATCATACAATTTTCATATATGGAAAAATGCTTATCATAGAGTTTTCATACAATTTTCTGTACGTATGAAATTGTATGACAAGAAGTTTCTCATATATGGAAATTGTATGATAAGAAGTTTTGGTCAACCCGGGTTATTACTGGAACCTGATCTAAACTATATTTTATGATTGGAAAAATTAGATATTTTACCACTGTAAAGTATTTAATATTAACCAATCATGGTCCATCTAACTAACAACCCACTTATTTGTAAGTGCTGAAATTACTTGTAATTTCAGCACCAGAGAGATTTGAATTTAACTTAGAAATTAGTTGCCTCTCCAAGACAACTCCAGCAGCCGCAATAAACCAGTATACCCTAGATCTATTGAGCCTAGCAGAGACTAGTTAAACAACCTGAGATTAGATAGTATAAGAGTAAGATTAGGATCGGTATTAGACTAAGAAGTTGCACGAATCTATCCGGCCGAAAATAAGATAGCGTGACGAGCAGACGGTGTACCCTATCCGAAATTACTCTATGAGTTAACCACATCGGTCCTAACTCATTACATGTAGTTTTTTTCCATGGCCTGTTCTTATTTTTTGACAAAAAGGCTTCCTTGTTAGTTCCGTGTACAAAACGAAAAGAGGAAAAAACCTTTGCGGATACTCTGATTGGCGTAACTAACTTCAAACAAGAGCACATGCTGCGTTGTTTTGTTATTTTGACAGTCGTTTGTGTAAACCAAGGAAAGCGTGATCAACTTAAGTTGTGTTCCTAGTTCTAATGCCCTGAGCCAATTCTAATGTATAATTGTATTTCTAACCTGACTGATAAAATTTCAATGCTACAGATGTTGGGCTCATTTCAATTTTCTTCTTATAAAATGACCGAGTTCTTAATTTATAAAAGAAATCGTAGATCACAGAACAGAAACAATGAAAAGCAAAAGCTGAGTTGATTTACAATTTTTCTTGTTTTTTTTTTCTTAAATTTTTATGTTAGTAACTGGCTATCCTTGTTACACTCCCCTTTTTTTAGAAACTGCAAAGTAATTTTTTAAGTACTCCAACTTCCTATTATTTGCACTTCTATTGGCATTTGCACGTCTTTTGATAAAACTCTGTGTGAAAATTTTTTTTACATCTAAAATGTTTTACAAAAATGTGATATGCGTTGCGATATCAGTTGAAAACAAGATGTAATTCAATACTGTATTCTGTATATTGAAATTAGTTTCTTTTTTCTTTTGCTTTTTTATTGGTTACTGAGAGCTAGATCAGCACTGAACAACTCTGACCTCTCACTTGGTCTCAATGTCATAACACACTGTGACCTTGAGCATACCATAAAGTAATAACTAAGCACCGTAGGGTGGTAGTACATACATAATTAATTACTGCTATTGCAGTAGCGGTATGACACAACCCCCTCGGTAAAATAAATTATGGAACATATGTAGGATAATTTATCCTAAAAAGAGTTTACTGTACTCAGTTCACAAGAAAGTTTTTGGGTTACTGAAGGTTTAGTTCATATCTGTCTTCAATTTTCTTCCAGCTCTAATTTCCAACTCGGATTCCATTCCAATCCTTCATCTAGCGTAGCATACCCAAGTTTTCGCATGAATAAGTGTCGTTCGAGCCGTCTTAATTTTGATTCCACAGGTCTGTCGCTTCGTTGCTTGAAGTCTCTTAGTTGCCTACAATATTCCTGAAG